CGCCTCGAACCTTTACGTCTTCGGTCCGGATCAGGACGCGACCGAGGAGGAGCTTGACGAGCTACGCTGGGCTGTCGAGCAGCTCCTCGACAGCACGAAAAAGTTCTCAGGAAGCACTAAGGCGCGGTACCAAGCTAGCCAGCAGCTGGTCCCTAGTGATCTTGCTCAACACCTGACAGCCCTTGAACTTTGCGCTGAAGCGACGGCGCAAGCGATGGAGGAGAAACAGAGGGAACAGAAACGGGCTAGAACCGTCAGGTCGGATTACTTAACCGATCTCGACGAGGTTCAAACGTGGATCAGACAAGCTGAATTGAAGGTGCAAGACAGATCCATCGAGCCTGCCCCTCTAAAGGAACAATTGAAACAGGTGCAAGACGAGTTGGGCACGATCACCGACAAGCTCGAACGATTAACGAGAAACGGCCGTACCATTGCGGAGAATACGAGGGACGATACTGAGAAACAGTTGATCGACAGCACCGTTCACAATGTCACTGAACAGTTGAACCAAGTTAGGAACTGGCTGGACGAGAGGAAGCAAGTGGTAGCTGATACCATTGACGCTTGGCAGAGATTTTTGACGTTGTACGAGGCCGTTAAGGCATGGACCGAGGAAAAGAGACAGTTCCTAGTCGAGCCATTGAAGCTCAGCACCCTTGTGCAGGCTAGGCAGAGGCTGCACGAGTATTCGGTACGTCCGAAACACGTCTATCGAACCGTGATCCTTTCGACTAGTGGAGAAAGCCAGGAAAACGTGGGTTTCTCAAGTTAGAATTTATTTTCGGTCTTTTCTTGGGATTGGCCTTTGCTCGATCCCTTCGTCCGACTTTGTTGCATAGAAGCATCCCTTAAATTTTCTACTGTCTATCGTCGAACGGTTAATATATGCACACTGGTTACAAAGAACGTTGACACACCATTGCATTTAGTATATTTACATACCAATTAATTAGGTCCAAGTATGTTAAATTTCTTATTACTCAGTAGTACTTTCGTATGACTACAAAGGTTTGATATTACTGGAAATAAAATGTAGATACGCTTCGTTAAAGATATACTTTTTGTAGTCGTTGCAAATGGCCACAATTACCGCTATATTACTGTAATATTCGATTCTTGAAAAAGCAATATTTCAAAACTATAACTTCCAAGTGTAATTCCTATTGGACGCGACATACAACCGGAAAGCTTCAATTGTAACAGCGATGCAGACTATACGTGCTATGCAGACCTAGAGTTCTTCGAAAACCCACGTTCCTTTGCATTTCGTTCCACGAATGGAGAAATCACGGTTCGCTATTCGTATCTATCTTTCTGTCAACCGTTCGTTCTATTAATCTTCGGGGTGGGTTTGCAGACAGCCGTAAAAAGCTGCAAACAGATCAACAAGAATCTCAGTGATATGGGTAAGGAGCTGGAGAGTATCGGTCAGGTTTGCAGCGTGGGCGACTTGCCCGAGAAACTACTCGAAGCTGAAGAAGCTAAAGTCCAAGTAGAGGGTCAACTGTTGGAAAGGGTTGGTTTTTCTCGATCGATCAGCGAATCTTATTTAGTTAGGGGCGGAAAGAACGTGCGTAAGATGAACATCGTTTCAAACTATTCGTTTCAGAACGCGCTGCTGCAAGAAACTAGCGAAGAATGGGAGCAGTGCGAGCGAAAGATGAAGGAAGTGAGAACGTGGATCGAGAAAGCGAAACAGAGTCTCGAGTCGCCGCAGAACAAAAAGAAACCATTACGGGATCAACATAGTATAAGGGAAAAAATGCTGAGCGATATCGCGATACAGAAAACGAAAATTGGTATGTCGATGGAGAAACTTCAGGTTCACTTCCGATCTGGGATTGGTGGCGATAGTCGAATCGGCGAAACGGTTGACGAGCTGTTGGCCGAGCTAGACAATCTTAATACCAATGTGAGAGAACAGACTACGGCATTAGAGGCTTGTCTAGCTCAGATTGATCAATACCAACAGGTTAGAATTGCTCAGAGGATTGTTTTTTTTTTTTTTTTGTTGCTCTAGACTGGAGCTGTATTCTTTTGAAACTTGATTGCTGATCCGGTTAGAATTTTAGGGAATTAGCTTTATTATTTATTATTTAAGGAATGGGAAATTAGCTTTATACGTAGGCAATGGAGAAGTTTAATCGGAATATAGGAAGTTTTATCACAGTTTGAAGTAAGTCGAACAGATAGGATCAATGGAAAAAATGAAATAATGGTGGTGAAACGGTTAAAGGGTATAGCAAAGCTTATTTTTCTGACGCGTTACCTTCTTACGTAGATGGTGTTTCGAGGTGCATAGTTGCATTTGTTGCACTATGGAAAATTCGATTGCACTCTGTTCAGATGCATCGGTGTCCTTGTAAAAAAAAAGAAAAATGTAATTGCATTCTGCAAGCGTATTGCTATAAGAAGAATGTAATTACGTGTATAAAAGGATTGTACAGTCCCATGTTACAAGTGCACTGTTACACCGATGAAGAATTGCATATAATTCCTACGGATTTATCCTACAGAAAGGTGAAACTTCAAAGAAATACATGTGCTATACCATTGAACTATCTTCGACACTATTCCCCTATCTACAATCATAAAAAAAAAAAGATTACCTGTATGCGTAGAATCATAGTAGCGGGTTTTCTAGAAATAAAGGGGATCAGCAATCGTTTCAATGACGCCCAAAAGAATACGGCTGACGTCCGTTTGTCGTTCTAGGAGATACAACAGTTGAGGCAACAGATTATGCAGGTGGAGCAACAACTAAGGACAATACTGAGCCCGACGTATCTGTCCGCCGATAAGGAGAAGGCGTTACAGGAGCAACAGGTAGGTTTGTCTTGATCCCACCTTTTTACCACCTGCACAAATGCGCTAAAGCAGCAAGTTGATTTTTTGCATCTGCTCGATACCAACTGAAGACCACCACCAGGATAATAATCGCGTACTTTTCGAATCTCTCCCATTGAAACGAGTTGTTTCTTCTTTACTTTTTTTTTTTTTATTCGTATATGTATTAAATTCGTGGTCGGGGGTAGTTTTTCATCGGTAAATCACGGACTTCTCTCCGGCATCTGCTCTCGAGACACCATGCCTGTTCTCAAAATATTAATTTCTCAAGTGACTAACAATTAACCGTCGATCGAGCCAACATTAATTCCTTAACCGCGTCAGGGTAAAATAAGATTTTTATTGGCTACGGATATTTGTGAATTCCACGTATATTTTCATTTCTATTATTAAAATATAGTTAAATAGATTAACGCGAAGTGGCCAATATAAATTTGTAACATCCATATCAGAATTATACCAATCGGAATTTGGAAACATTTTGATAATCCATTTTGAAGAGACAGAGGTCGACGTACCTTTTTCTGATTATAATTTCAATCAAGGTGTTTCCGTTTAAATTTCTCCATGCCAATATCCTTATTTTCATTTCATACGCATCATTACAATTATTTCTCCTTCCACTCCAAAGCTTTTCTTAAACAATTCACCAATGCTTAACAATATAACATCTGTTAATAACATGAAACATATATAACAATCGCTAAACATCTATTCACATCTTTCTCTCACTTTCTTTAACTCTGTCTCTCTGTCTCTCTCTCTCTCTCTTCTTACTACTTCTTCACATCTCTCTCGAAAAAATAAGTTAATCTGTAATAACATCATGCTGATTCCATTATTTCAAAAATTGCGAATTTATATTGAAAGAAAAATATAATTCACGTGCTCTCGTTGAAATTTTAATACAAATATATCGATCGTTCTTTCGTCAAGATAGCGATTGAACGATCAATATCGAGTTCGTGTATTCGCATGCTTAATCATCGTGGTGGTACATCTGTTACGCGGTATTGGTTGGTATCATGCTCTTGACTAAGGTTTTATCTCACCTGTTCTTTTTGTAACTGAGAGATCAATCGGTCATACATCACTGTTCACGCACGTCTCTGCGTTTATTCGTCTGTTTCTCTACTTTCTATACGTATCTCATGATCCATGTATACATCACCATACTCTTAATGACACACCTATATGTTGTTTCGTGATGGGGTTTACTTGATTTTGCTTGTTTTCTCTTTTCTTTGTATAACGTCACGTGTTTCTATCTTATTTGTACTTTTCTTTTCTCGCCGTCTCTCACTTGTCTATACTATCTATGTATCAATGAGTGTTACAAGAATAACGCAATTCTGAATCTTTTCGAATTGCACCGCACTCTATATATATTACATATATATATATACTTATATTCATAGAGTAAATAGAATATGAAGGAAAAATTGTAATAGTCGCACAAAGATATGTAAAAGTCGCATCAGTATGTGTAAAAAAAAAACGAAACGAACGATTGTCTTGCAACGTTTCGTCCACCACACACAGAAATGTCTGTTTCACACACCGTTTCACAGTAGGCTTTTTCGATCGAGTTTCTGTCGTTCACGAAAGTAGCGCTCAGCTGAACTTGTACGTTACGATTTGACTGTATACGCAACGCGAGCGTTCGTCCTGTCGTGTCGAGAAACTCGAACATCGACAACGAACGCGATCTATACGTGAAAAAAAAGATGTATTACGCAAGAAAATCAAGTGACCTCCAAAACGCGCGCCGAGACTTGTGAGAACATAGCGAACACAAGTCAACGCTTCGAAAGACCAGTCGAACTTACCTCGATAATTTCTCTTATGTTCATTCGTTTCATTTCTCTTTCTTGTTCTTTTTCATTTAACTTCACATTGTGTTCGCTCTTTTTTCTTGTTTAACTTGTCTTTAATCCATCGCATCGGCTATTTGATTTACGAACATTTTGTTTGCTGTACCTTTTCCCGCCTCTCCTATAAAAATACAAAAATCCATCCTCCGTTTCACGTTCCACATCCCGCCTTCTTCGTTTCGTTTCTGACCATCGTTTCTGCTTCGCCATCGTCGTCTTCTGGGGTTCTGCGGCGTCTACACGATTATTAATCGTCTCTCCTTTGTTCTCACCTTTCTTTGGTTTCTCGGATCTCTGTCTCTCTTCTCTTTCGATCGAAATTTTGTTCACGATTTATCGTCCATCTCGCTCGATCGCTCGGCGTGTTGTTGTTTCTTCGTTTGCTCTGCTCGTTCGTATAGATCTGTCGGGAGAAGATCAAGTCGTTGCAGAGCAAAATCCAGGCGCGTACCGAGAGATCGAAGATCCTCGTGCAACGTGGCAAGCCCGATCCAGAACCGTTAGATCCATGACCAGTTTGGTCGTTTAGAGTCGATTGAGATCGTCCAACGTTCTCGCGATTCTACGTGATCACGATTTTGACAGCTATTAGTGTCGTTCCTCGCGTTCTTTTCTCACCCGGTTCAATTCCGCGCACTATATCCGGAGCGAAGGATACGTCGACACCAAATTGACGACAGAATCGAAGAGATTCGAATTCTTCGAGCTTCAAAGAATCCTGAAGTCTTCGACCTATCGTGTAAAAATGTCGACGTTCGTCCTCGTCCACGGAATGGAAACCGATCGATTTTTAATACCTCAGGATCTTTTTTAGCGAACTTTATATTATATATATGAATGTATGTATGTATACGTATATTGTCTATATTACATTATATCGAGCAAACTTTTCCTAAAACGTGTTATTCGTTCAGGCATAGAGAGCAGAGTTGCGTTCATATAAAAGAAAAAAAAAAGTAACAAAACCAATTACCAGTATACTGTTTTAAAAGAGAGAATAAAGAGCCCTCTTTATCGCCAAGCAATCTTGTATTTCTTCGCGAGCTACACCACCGCTGATCATAACGTTAATCTAGCATACACGCATATAATACTAAAACTCTCCGATAAAAGGGAATTCTAATCTTCCAACAACCCCTTAATCGCGCCCCTGACCACATTATTTAACAGAGAACCACCCCGATCTCCCATTATTTCCATACCGACTTAACATCTTATCTGGTTCACCCCTGCCACAAAAATCAAACAATCAAAAAAATGCAAAACAACACAAAAAAAAAAAAAAAAATAGAAAAATGTCCCAGAAAAATTGACGTATGTGTATTCCATTGTTGTGCCTTGGCTGTTCCTCCGTGGCGGATAAAGCAGAGCCTGCAGCAAAGGATGGACGATTGGAAGCAACGCGTGAAGATAGTGCTGGATCAAATATACGCCGTGGACCCGTACTATGTACAGAGCAACGAGACAAGGATCGTCAATCAGATCTCGTACGCGGACATCGCCGCAGGTCGGACAAGTCCGAGCTCCAGGGGTTCTAGCCCCTTTAGAAATCCCCGAGACGAGGTTTCTTCGGTGCCCCTTTCGATTCAAGTGCTCAAACCTACCGTGCAACTGTCAAGAACAATGGAAGCCCAGAAGCAACCTGCTATCGAACCAACTGGCGACAATACTCCAGCAAATGCTGCAATAGCGGAGACGAAGATGAAAGAAGAACAGTCAAGACCTGAAGAGCAGAACGAGCAGAAGGAGCCTGAAGTAAGAACCGAGGTTAGAAGACGCGTCTCTAAAGTAGATTCGGTGGACTCTAGATTGAGAAATCAGTCTAGAAGATCTGGTTCTGTGCGAAAGGACGTTCGAGGACCTATTAGGGAATCTCCTGAAAGAAATTCGTCCGCGGAGGCTGACAATGAAATTTCTGGATCAGACGCTTCTAGATCGGTAGTGGAACAGAGGAAGGACCCGTTTGTACTTAAGAATACACTGGCCCCTAAGGTGGAGAGAAGAGGAAGATCCGCCAGTCCCATTTGGATGCCTGGATCAACTTCCTACGCGGATATTCTTCGTGGAAACAGACAGAATTCTCGCAGCCCTTCGGTGGAGACTGGCAAAGATGCTCACGTAGTTGGTAGAGAAGTCGCAGAGACTGTGGTCGAGGAATCTTCCGTAGAAACTGTTCAGACGGAGAAGATGGAATTCGAGGTGGCCAAAGTGGAAGTAAAGGAAGGGGCAACGGCTGAAAATGCTTTTATGGAACAACCAAGCGAAGACGTAGCAGTGGAGAGCTACCAACAGCAGCCTGCCGAGGTCGTGCACGAAGTTGTACCTGAAGTCGAGTCTCCTGTGAAAACTTCTGAGGAACCGAGCGAAACACAAACCAGTTGGACGGACGAAAGCATGGACGAGTACGTTTTATTGAATGAGAAAAGTTACGAAAATGTCGCAAGACCGCCAGTTGCAACGCAACAAGTTCCAGAGGTCTACAACTATATTCATCCGGCTATTCCTGAATTGGTTGGTTTCATCGGGTCTCAGATCGCCTATCCAGTAAGTTCCTATGTCTACATGCCAGCTGCACCGCCTCAGCAAATGGCTCTTCCTCATTACACCGAAAGTCAGATGGCCTTCCCATCGGAGCCGTACGTGGCGCAGCCTAGCTACATCCCTGAACCAGAGATTTATCAGCAAAATCAGTTGCAGAAGCATCCACAAAGGCATCCGCATCAAACCAAATTCAAGATCCCTCCAAAGACTACTCCTGTAGTTGTGCAGAACGTCGAAGAGAAGTGTTTACCTTCAAGAGCTCAACAACCTGTGGATATCGAGCCTGTCGTTCAGTCAAATATTCAAGCTGCTGCGCAACCTGCTGTTCAAGCGGAAGAAGTTTCTGAACCAGAAAAACCAGTAGAACCAGAACAGTCTATGCAGCAGCCTATCGAGCAACCTGTACAACAAGTTTCTACGCCAGTTGCAGAAAGTACACCTATTAAGACGAAAAGTACTACCTCAAGCGAGAGCAAGACATTCTCGTACGCCCAAATTTTATCGCAGGGTCTCAGTTCTAAACCGACATCGACTACAAGTAGTCAATCATCGACAACGGTGACTTTGATCTCAAAACAGGCGAAAGAGCGTTCACGCTCGCCAGTGAACTCGGCGACGTCCTCTGTGCACGAGTCGAGTCCTCCTCAGGAAGCTAGACAGATTCGAGAATCGACCGTAGGCAAGTCAGCAAATACGTGGGATATATCGAGGAGAAGGGAGACGAGAAAGACTCACCAGGAGTCGCCAAAGACGAAGATTCCTGAGAAGAGGGCTCGCAGAGGACCAGAGCAACCAAAGGCTTCAGAAGTATTTCAGAAACCTCAGAAAGAGAAAGTCAGGACCAGTACGGAACAACAGAAACAAGTATTCGAATTCAAAGATGAAATTACCGTGGAAGATTTGACGGCTTCTCCGAAGGTAACTCCGAAGAGTGTCAAGGTTGAGATTAGAAAGGAACAAGTGGACGATGTTAAACCAGAAAAGAGAATAGATGCTGAAGAAACGAAAAAGATGGAAGATCACAAGCAGGATGAAAAGGACGTTCAGGAGGAGAAGGAGGTTGATGTTCAACAGAGGAGCAGGTCTCAGGAGAAGAAACGAAAGGCGAAGAAGAAGAAGCCGGAGAAGGTGGACGACGAGATAGAGAAGGCCCTGAAGGAGATCGAGGATATGGATAAGCATAAAAAGAGGGATAAGTCGAGGGAACAGGCTAAGAAAGATACGGTTCAAGCTACGGTGGAAAAATCCAAAGAAGAAAGTGAAAAGAAGAACGTGAAATCTAACGAAAAGAAGAAACAGGGTAAATCGAAGATGGAGAAGATTAAAGATGAATCGGAGACTGGAGTAAGTCAGTCTAACGCGAAAGAACAGGTTAAATCGAAAGACGATGCGAAAGAGAACAAAGAGGAGAAAGATTCTGGGAAAAGGATCGCGAAGGATGACGTTAAAGCTTCCGAAGAGAAAGCAACGAAGGTTGAAAGTCGAAAGAACGAACCTGAGAAGAGATCTGAAGCGAAGATGGATTCGAGTGAAACGAAGAAAGTGGACGCGAAGGAAGAGAAACCGTGTAAAAAGAAGCAAAAGGGTAAGGAACAAGCTGGTACAGCGAAGGACAAATCTAATAAAGATACCAAACCCACGAAGGTTGACGCGGGGTCAGAGCAAATTAAGAAGACAACTGATGAAGATAAAGTAGAGACTCCGAAACAGAAACACGTAAAACCAGATTCAGTTGAAAATGTTCAAAATTTGGAGCAGATAAAGAAAGAAGACACAAAGGCTACGAAGCCTGTAAAATCAGACAAAACGCCTGAAACTAAAGTTGAACTTAGGAACAAAGTGCAAAGCGAGCCTAAAGAGAAAGAGCCAATGAAAGAACAGGAGAAATCGAAAAAGAATAAGAAACAGAAACAAGGCAACGAACAGGAGACTTCTAAAGTCCAGACACCGAAAAAACAGAGCCAACAGAAAGAAGACAAGAAAGTAGAACAGTCGAAACAAAAGAAATCCGAAGAGAAATCAGAAGTAACAAAGGATGTGAAATTAGGTGAAAAGCAAGAAGTTGAAGCAGAAGTTAACGTAAAAACTCCAAAAGACGACAAAGATAAGAAAGTGGCTGAGAAAAAGAAAGGGAAGGAGGATGATACAAAAGAACAGAAGAAGGAGGATACGGTATCGGAAGTAGAACCGAAAACAGATATTAAAGAAGAACAGAAAATGGTAATTAGCGCGTTGGTTCGCGTAATGGAATCTACGATGGAGATTAGCAAAGGTGATGAGTCGAAACCAGAAACAGTGGTGCAGGAAAATGCAGACGAAAAATCAACGAATAAACGAGAGAAGAAACAGAATAAATCTGGTGAAGAACAAATGGTTGAGACTAAGAATTTGAAGAAAGAATCGAAGCCAGATTCTGTACAGAAGGAGGAACCGAAAAAGGTAGTTGAATTGGAAAAACAGACGAAATCGAAGGGAAAGAAATCGAAGAAAGAACCCGATGTTAGTCAGAAGCCTGCGCCTGAAGCGATAAAGATGGCTGAAAAAGAAGAAAAGAAGATCATCGATAAGCAAGTTATCGAAGAGAAATCAATTAAAGAGGAAGAAATTGTCACGGAACGATCGAAAAAGGAATTAAAAACTGAACCTGTCACGCCAAGTAAAGGACAATCTGATAAGAAAAGACGAAAGAAGTCTAAGTCACCGACAAAAGCAAAGAAAGAAGAAGATTCAAAGTCTGCGTTGCCTGTGGAAGAAAAGGAGAAACCTAAAGGAAAAGAAGCAGTAGAAGAGGCTAAATTAGAAGAAAAGAATGGTAAAATCGATAACGATGGCAAACTGATATCTATAGAAGAAACGAGAATTACCGGAGTTGAAGAAAAAATTACTGCGATCCAAGCGGAAAATCAGAAGGAAGAAAATATTGTAACAGAGAAGATTGAAGCACAACCTAATATCGAGAAGAGTATTACTGGAGAAAAATCTACAGAATGCGTCGAAATATTTGTAGACAAAAAGGCGGAAGAAACTGTAAAGAAACCGGAAGAACCTGAGAAAGTTGAAACTAGCGACGTGAAAAAGAAAGAAGGAATTCTTCTGCCTGAAGTACCGAAAACCGATAGACCGGAAATCCAAGAAGTTCCAGGAACACCATCAAAGTCCAAGAAAGGGAAATCAAAGGAAAAAGCTGTCACCGAAAATACCACACCCATTTCTGCGATCGAGCCGAAAGAAGAACCCAAGTCCAGTCAACCAAGCACACCGAAGTCTGACAAGAGAAAGAAGAAGAAACAGGAGAGCAAAGACAAAATCGTGGTCGAACCTCCACAACTAGAACAAGCGATAGTCACTGAAAAACCTAGCACAGACACGAAACCAATCGAAGAATCTGAAAAATCAATGGAAACACCATCATTAAAACTCGTAACTCCACTGATAGAGTCTCAGAATAAAAAGCAAGGCCACGTTAAAAAACCAATTGAAATCGAGAAAATTTCACTGACAAAGTCTGACGATTCAGAATCTCGCTCGCAAGAACTGATTGAAAATCCAAGTACAGAAGAAGATTCTCTTCTTTCAAAGAACGAGAAAACTGCAAACGTTTCAGCCACTGTTTCACCAACCACAGAATCATCTTCATTAGAGAAAACGGTTACCACGGTGACCAGCAGCGTGCCTGAACCTGTCGAAGCAAAGCCATCGATCGAAAAAATCGTAGAGAACTTAGAAAGTATTCCCTCATCCAAGGTCGTAGGCTCCAAACCCACTGAATTAATCACCCTGCGTCCTGAAACAGTAGAGAGTAGCCTAACAACCACCGAATATGCTAGGGTATCGGATGATTCAGCTGTTGGTATCCCCTGGAAAGCATTAGATACGTTAGCAGACGTTGACAAATCAATTTCCGATTACACGGTATATCTTGACGATCTTGTTAAAGACGATCAGCCGATTCTGTTCGGTAGCGTTCAGGATAGGAGGAGAGGTCGTTCTGGAACTCCGAAATCTGTAGGAAGCGCGAGAGACGAGAGGGAGTTGGATAATTTCGAGAAAGAACAGGACGCGAAAGTTATGCAGGATAAATCTAAGCACGAAGTTGAGGGTAAGACGGATAGGATGAGGGTTAAGGAGGAAGTTAAGATTGTCGGAGAAGCTGCAAGTGTAGAATCGAAAGATTCAGGTGAGTTAGTGGTAGAGAGTGAAGGTGAAATTGTGCAAGAGAAAGGAAAGATGGGTACGGGACCGGAAGAGTCTTCTTCTGATATTGAACAGGGACAGGGAAAAGGAACGGGTATAATGTCGTTAGAATTGGAATTAGACACTCGTGAAGTAAGTATTCTTCCTACTCATGTAAGACATATGACACCTGAGACAAAATATATTCCTGAAATTGTAACTGTTCCTGTTGACGTTCCTAAGTCTGAAACGGAAAATATTGAAGATAAAATAAGTACGGTTGAAAAGAAGGTAGGAGACGTTGAGGAACGTAAAGTTGATGATTCTAAACCTAGAACGGAAGAAGTTAAAGAAAAAGCAGCTCTACTTGAAGAGAAGATCGTAGACTCTGAAAAACAAGAAGTCTCTATTAAGGATGAAGATTCTAAACCTGAAAAGCAAAAGGTTGAAGATAAACCAAGTCAGATTGAAACACAGGTTGCAGAGTCCAAAAAACAGATAGAAGTTTCTGTCAAAGGAGAAGATCCTAAAACTGAAGAGAAAAAGGTTGAAGATAAACCAAGCCAGATTAAAGCACAAGTTGCAGAACCTAAAAAACAAGTAGAAGTTTCCGTCAAAGGTGAAGATTCTAAACCTGAAGAGCAAAAGGTTGAAGATGAAACAACTCAGACTAAAACACAAGTTGCAGACTCTAAAAAACAAGTAGAAGTTTCCGTCAAAGGTGAAGATTCTAAACCTGAAAAGCAAAAGGTTGAAGATAAACCAAGTCAGATTGAAACACAGGTTGCAGAGTCCAAAAAACAGATAGAAGTTTCTGTCAAAGGAGAAGATCCTAAAACTGAAGAGAAAAAGGTTGAAGATAAACCAAGCCAGATTAAAGCACAAGTTGCAGAACCTAAAAAACAAGTAGAAGTTTCCGTCAAAGGTGAAGATTCTAAACCTGAAGAGCAAAAGGTTGAAGATGAAACAACTCAGACTAAAACACAAGTTGCAGACTCTAAAAAACAAGTAGAAGTTTCCGTCAAAGGTGAAGATTCTAAACCTGAAGAGCAAAAGGTTGAAGATGAAACAACTCAGACTAAAACACAAGTTGCAGACTCTAAAAAACAAGTAGAAGTTTCCGTCAAAGGTGAA